GCTCGGGATAATGCGATCGCTAATTGGTTGAATAGAATCTCTTGAAAAATTACACCAATCACAGCCGGTGAAACAGAATGTTCTTTTTTAATGTAACCTTAATCATAATGTTTTAATAATTTTTAATTTTACCGAAAAATTACCAACGTGAAGGAAATAAGATAAAATACTAACAATTCAACAACTGTCATATTTTTCTGTAAACAGTCAGTAATGTCGGTATTTAGCTTTTTGATGATGAACTGATTTGAGGATGAGAATGACGATGGTTTTCTGAGGGTAAAAAATTAGATGCTCTATTTGCTTTTTCAGAGCATTTGAGCATTTTATATAGGATCTCACAATAAATAGTTCAAGCAGTATTTTTTAACATAGTTTTGATTGGTGGCTTTAGAAGATATTGTCATTCAATTCAGTTACCAATGTTTTAGATGCAATATAATAAATGTCCATAGTCTAGACCTAGACACTCTAGACCAGCGGTATTCAAACTGTGTTCTGCGGAACCCTGGGGTTTCCTACAACCTCTCTTAGAGTTCTGTGACTCAGTCAAAACTTCGAAATTTTCAAACTAACAATATCGATACTACAAAATTCAAAAAAAATTATACTCTTAAAAATTTTTTATTTTTATAAGTACATGCCTATAAGTTTACTATAAGAGCTTAACAAGTTTATAATTTATATTTATGTAATCTTCAGATAGCTCAGATAGTTAGCAGGAAAAATCTACTTACCTTCACCTGCTTAAATGTAGGCGGCAGTCTAGGTGAAAGTTTATTTTTATTTTTTTTAATTTAGATTTCTTTCAACCAAGACAAAATTATTCTCAAATTAAAATTTGGTTAATACAAAAAATGTAGATACTGATTTTGAAATTTAAAACAAAATTCCTCAAAAAAATTAAATTTGAAGGTAATATTTTCTCCTATATTATATAGCACAAGCTCTTTCCCTCTAGGGGCGGTTCTTTAGAAGAAACGAACACTGACTTTATTTATTTATATATTTTTTTAAATTTAAAATGACTTCAATGAAATTTTAATTTCGTCAAACTAAATAAAATAATTAAATCCTGATTTTCAAAGAAAATTTATATTAATTATTAAATTAATTCTTTCTTGGACACAATTAAACAAAAATTATAGTTACCTACGTAACCTACACCAATTTATGCCCGTTTGCACCGTTTCGAATTTAAGCCAAGTTCAACTGAACTTAGTTTAATTTTAAAACTAGGTTTTAATAATCAGCTTTTGCACCACTTACTGCCGATTGTAGATTAAATTAAACTGGGCTTTAAGAATACTGTCTAGGGATTTTATTATGCTGCTAACTTATGTCCAATTACGTTCGGAAAAAAATATGTCGAAGTCAAATTCTCAAACCTAACGTAATACCATCAATGGCACCTAACACCCTAGGAAATGATGCAATTTTATAGAACTCATGTTGCACACTAACTATTTTCACATTTTTATGTATTTCTGATAAAGCCGAGCTATTGCAATTGATACTCGTACAATTATTCTGGACACTGTTGATATGTCCATCCCTGAAAAGTCTGCAAGACAAATGACCAGCACAAGCATAGAACCAAAGAGTAGTCAGCATTTGTTGGATAGGAGACACACTATTATTCCTAGAAATACAAAATCATATTAAGAATAAACGCTTTTTATAACTCCAAAATTCTGATTGCCAATTGCATCATGTTCATGCCGACGTGTTCGTAAAACTTACATGTCACTTGGATATTCCAACTCCTCTTCAATTAAAGTTAGCAGATGTAATGTGGTCTCTTTTGTCAACCTAAATCTGCGGAAAATAGTCATATTGTCTAGATTATGAAATAAATCATTTCTAATATATTGTCTGGGAAATCTATAATTTCGTGAATATCAAAATCATCCAGTACATCAAAGTCAGAATCTGAATCCATTTCAAAGTTGTCAAAGATGTCTTAACACCACTAACTCATTCACAGTCCACAGGAAAAAGGAAGAAATACTTATTTAAAAAAATTCTGGAATAAACACTACGGTGCAAACGGGCATAAAATAACTAAATTACTTATTAATATTTACAACAATGTACTACATCTCCCAAAATTTGTTGTATATCCTTTGTCCGTGTAATATGGATTTGTTTTTACCTCTGTCTGTCCTCACTAAATTTATTATACTCCTCTCTCACAACCACTTTCCGGTTTTACACATTGGTCTGCTCCTCTTGTTCAACGTTAATGGTTCTGCCTCGTTTTCAAATTTCAAGCTGCAACTTTCGTAACTTGCTGATTCTACTGCTCTCCCATAAGGATAAATTTTCCAATTCCCATCTTGTGTATGGTCTTTTATCTCGTACTGGGTCCTTTTGTATTCCTGTTTATTTCTTATATTCTCGATCTTTATCTTCTCTGTTTATTTATGGACTTTGTAATATTTAAATTATCTCTTTTTCGTTTTTATCTCAACTTTTGATTAATTTTCAAAAAATCAACTAAAATCCTTTTTTTTATTCTTGTACGTAACGGCACTCCCGTATCCCCGTTTAATTTTCCACTGCTCACTACTCACTACTTATAACTATTTTACAATAATTCTCTCATTTATAAAAAAAAATCAATTTAATTTTTGTTATCACAACTCATTACTATTTTTAAATTTCTTAACATTTCATTTTCTTTGAAATTCTGATTTCACAAAGTAATATTTTTTTAATTTATTGTCAGATACTTCTTCCCTATATGCAATTAACCCCTTCCCTATATGCAATTTACAATACATTATATGTGACAACTATCACTGCCAATTTTATACATTCATTTTCTCAATTTTTGTTTTCAATTTCCAAACCAATACTTACTTTACTAAATATGCCACATTTCCATACATCTGAATATATAATCAGAAAAAATGTGTGAAAATTTTTTTAGGTATGGGGGTCCCTCAAATAAATTGAAACTTTTACCGGGTTCCGCAAGTCGTAAAAGTTTGAAGACCGCTGGTCTAAACAATACGTATGGACAATTTCTTCAATATTTCTAAAAATATTAACGCATATATTTATTTTCCAATAAATAATTTTCAAAATTGATTTCCTGATTTTAAATTTATTTATTTTGATTTATTAAATTCCCTTTAACATTATCAATACTGTTATGTAATATTTATTTTCTTTTTTCTTTAATTAATTTAAATAAATCGCTTAAGATTTGTTTCAATAACTGCAATTATTATTAAACAAATTTAAGTATAATGCAATATTAATGCGTTGCATATAATTATAGAGATTGACTACAAATATTTATCATTCATTACACACAAGGTGTCCCTTATTTTATAAAATGTTTTAAAGTCTCACATTTTTCTTTATTTTTTGCAACATTCTTTGGATACAATATGCGAAGAAATTGAGGTAGAAAGTAAAAATAAAATGTTTAAAATAGCAGATCGGTTATAGAGACAGTACAGGTAATATTAAAAAACTGAGTTTTGTTTTGGGAAATGTATCAATTGATAAACGGAAATCATTGCTTTTAAAATAATTTTAAATTTTTTGACAGTAAATTCCTTATTTTTAACATTGGAAAGCTTCCACCCCTGAAATTTTAAAATCTCTCTTTTTAGTGAATAGAAAGTCGATCATAATTTTTTTTAAGTTCGGTATTAAAATTCATAAAAAGTATTCCAAAAAAAAGCTCAACTTTGTAATGCAGTGGAATGTAGTATTTTGCATTTTTTAATTTTTACGTTTGACAGTGTACATTTAGCTGTGTATTAAAGACGATGTGGGACATTTTGCCGAGGACTTTACTGATTTAGGTCAATTTAAACGGTTGCCCCAAGTCATTAAATGTATTTTTTTACTCGAAAACAATTATGTATATAATTTTTTATTGGCTCCTTTAAATATTAATCTGTTTATTATTACTTCTATTTTTTTAATGCAAATAAAGCTGCAATTAATTTTCTAGTCAATAAGGACCATTTAAACCATTTAAGAACTCCAAACATTGATGATAATAAAGTATTATATTGATATTATGTAACTTCGTCAACAATGAATTTTTGAAAAAGAGCCACAGAAAATTGTACTATTATTTTTTTGCTCAAGGCTCATGTTTCACAGCATATATTTTTTTCTGATTTGGAAAAGATTTGTCTTATTTTGTTTTCTATATACATATTTTTTAAGCACTTTTACTTGATAGGCCAATAATAACATATCAAATGAGAAAAATTTTCATTATATTTTGCTAAATATTGAATAGACAGTTGTTTCCTCATCGTTAAGAACTCTAAACTATATGCAAACATCGCATTTTGTTTTTAGACTTTGCCAAAAATTAAAAAAATGACAATATTTGCAATCCTAATGCAATCCTAAGTTCTCAGACAAGGATCCTTATAATTTTGTTTCCACCAACAAATACTGACTGAAGGTCAAATAGAAAGTAAAATATGTATTGACAATAATAATAAATATAATCTCTTTGTGGTCTTCTTAGAAATAATAAGATTAGATAAGATTAACAAGAAATAAAAACATAAATAGCAAAAAATCATATTACGTTGTTAATTTTTAATGGTTGTGTTTTTTTTTATAATTTCGGTGCACTATGAACTAAGTCTAAAGAACGTAACATTGAACTAAAAATCTACTTTAATATTCATAGTTAGAGAGATAATGGCCTTTAGGATGTGTAACTGCAAATAAATTCGAAAAACAATAAAATCGCAATTTCAAAAATTTTCCAAATTAACGAAAACATTAATTAATGTCTTGTTTTCTCCAAGATGCAAAAATAACCATAAGATCCGTAATACTGTTTCATTGAATTTGAAACACCTTGTATGAATGTATAATTTATTATAAAGCCTTGCATATTTGAATGAAATAATATAATAGTCCCAATTTATGAATAAATTAATACAAAACAAAAATAGCAACATGAAACTTTGCAATGCATTTCAGTAATTTTTGTTTTCATCTTTCAGGTCTCGTGGGTTTTCTAGAGGAACCTCGTGACATTACGGTGTATATAGGGCAAAAAGCCTACTTTGCTTGTTATGTAGACGGTGCTCCTCCACCTAGAATTCGGTGGTTAAAAGATGAAAGGCCTCTTCAAGTTGACGACCTACGAATGGCTATTTTACCTTCAGGAGCTTTGGAGATCGACGAGGTCATGGAGTCAGATCAAGGTTCATATAGGTAAGGAGTTGTTAGTCTTTCCTAAAATATTAATTATATAACATTTAATATAACTTCCCATTTACTTTTATATGCAAAGACTATTATTAATTTATTTTTAAAAAGTTTATTTTAGTTTTAATTAAAGTGTTGTTTTTATTTACTTTTTTTATCTTTTCATAATAATCATCTTATATTTCAGATGTAACGCCTCAGGTTTTAATTCATACAAACTAAGCAATAAAGCAATCCTTTATATAAATCTGGACCAAGAACAAGCAGCTCACGTGGCACCACCTAGTTTTATAGCACAACCACGAGCTGGCAAATACGTAGAAGGGCAAAACGTATCATTAGACTGTGCAGCTAATGGAAATCCAGATCCTAGCATCACTTGGTTGAAAGATGGATACCCGATTGATCTAAAGTATGAAGAAGGACCTTAGAAAATCCCAAAATTTTTATCTAATGAAAAATTTTTTTAGTGATTTGGATAGTAGATTTACTTTAGTGGGTACGACGAGTTCTTTAAGGATAACAAAAATTCAGGAGGAGGATGCAGGAACTTATCAGTGCAGAGCACACAATAGAGAGGACAGCCTAGATGCTTCTGCTTTAATTCAAATACAGGTAAGATTTATGGTAGAGTTAATTAAAGCCAATACATTTTTTTACAAAAATAAAAATCTGCTGAGGTACTGATTTTGGCATGCAATGGCAATGAAAATCTTGCTATTGTAGACAAAAGTTTATCATACATGTCCACTAATTCTAATCCTTATTAAATAATTTTAGGTGCCTCCAAAATTTCGTAAGAAGCCTCAAGATAAAACTGAATATCCTACAAAAGACGTAGAGCTAGAATGTTCTGTATATGGTATCCCCGAACCGAAAATCCAATGGTTTAAGAATGGAGAGCTAGTTAAATACACAGAGTATTATAATTTAGTGAATGGGTAAGTCAAAACAATTATCTAAACGAATAAATTGATGATAGGTACTCTGAAACTTGCGACAATTGCAACAAATGTTTCTAAAATAAATTTTCCTTAAGAAGGTCCTCAAGAAAATATTTAAAAATATGAGACTTGCTTTGTCTGATCTTTTGTCATTTGACCTTAATACTTTGATTGATAACTTATTTTATTTTATAACAAAAATTGTTCTTCAATTTTCCTGTTTTATTGTGAGTGTACTTATAAATGTTTTATCAACGAAAATAATTACGATAGTTTTAAATGGGCTTTGTTATTTGTCATTGTTATTCAGATAAGATATATTACCATAGTTTTATTTTTACATCACATTTAAGTAATTAATGATTGCATTTGCATGATATAATAACAATAAAGATTTTTTTTTTTAGATAAGGTACAATCTTTACAAATATTACACAAATACGAGATAGTGAGTTTGTTGTATAAATTAAATAATTTGTGTACAGTCTTTCATAATTTTATAGCACAAATTGGCTAAAAGAAACTTATTAATTAGGTAATTCAAATGAATATTTTTTTCAAAGAGTGATTTTTAAAAATAAAAACATTGAACTATTTTCAATCATTCGATATTTATAATTATTTTTCAAGGAATCGTAACAGAAATTTGAAAGACTTTATTCTTTTTGGGAAATAGCAATAATGTTGAAAATCAATACATGTGTATGGTTTACAAACATTGCTTGTGCAACTTTTACATTATTTCTCAGATAAGATCAAATTTTTGGATAAACTATATCACAGAACAAATAGGTTTATAACAACAATGGCAGTATAAATATTTTTGCTGATAAACACCATCATTATCAACTTAAGTATACATAAATATTGCTTTGTTTTACGAAATCCTATAGAAAATATTATTTATAAGTTGCATAGCTATTAAGGAAAAATATTTATATAATATATACATTTTATTCTTTTAAATACAGACCTTTGTGACTTTAGTTTTCATATCATGGGAATTGAGTTCGATTCGATAAAGCAAACTTTTCTTTATTTATTTACATACACCTACAAAAAAGTGTTTTGCAATTAATTTATGTTAACCAATTTGTTATTCTCAAGCAAAAGAAACATATTTATGTATTATATATTTCACCACTTGAAAATAAGAAGACCTGACCCTCTTAGCCTCAATATTTAACGGGATATTATCAGCATGGTTAAAAATTGAAGCCAAAACATAATGAAAAATAAATAAAACTTGTGTATAATTTTTATTTTATTAAATTCTACTGAATTCCTGAGAATTTTCATTATTTTGAGTAATAATTTTTTATTTTTTAAAAGACATTTCTCTGTTTTTAGTAGGTATGTTTATCTAGAAAAAATATCCTTAAAGATTTTTCCTTGAATATTTTTTAAACACAATTTAAGACACGTTTAATATTTATTACAATGTTTTTCAAAATGGTTATAGACCTTTTTTTCTGTGAAATATAAAAATGAAATATTTTAATTTTAAAGGGTTGCACAAGGTGTTTCTTATGTTCAAGTTTTCCTTTTAGCACACTAGAGAACGCAATAAAGTAAGAAAATTTTTCAATTAGCATATTTTTTTTGAGTTCTCGAATACAAAAAAACAAAAACTAATCTCTTAATTCAGATAAACCCGGCTCTGCCTAAAAATGTTCAGAATTGTCAACACTGAATTCGCTTATACAACCCATCCTTTGGCATATCTACACAATTTTTGTTACGATAACATGATTGCTTTGCTGTGAATGAATAATTTCTCCATTTTTTTTCTTTTGACTTTCATCTGTTAAGAGAAAATTCAATATTTATAACATTTTTCACAGGGATATACTGAAATATTTCATATTGTTTTTCTGTTAATAATTTTGTTAATAATTAATTAATAAAAAATGTGCTTATTTTGTCAAATTTTATATCATAAACTTCGACTAAAAATTATTTTTTCCAGCTATAATCTAAAAATTATGGGCCTCATGACAACAGACTCTGGACTGTTCCAGTGTTTTGCCTCTAATGCCGCAGGCAGTGTTCAGGCGTCTGCCAGCCTCAAAGTTATAACAAATCCAGGTAAACAGATAAAATTCAAATCTAAGGGAACATTTTATGCTTTACTTGGGATCTTTGCGAATGACATTGTTTCTAGGTTTAATCCAAATTAATATTGCTGTTTATCAAGTATTATCTTCAATGTGCTCTTAAATTTTCAACAAAATTTAAATTGGAGAAAACGATGCAAATTGTTTATCACTTTTTACCTTAAAGGTTTTTATTTTGTTGGAAACATAAAATAGAACAATTTACACATACAGCATGACTAAGTTATGATATGGCATTTATTGGCAAATTATAATTTTTTTTATTTTTTCCCCATCCTTACCCATTACCTTTATCCTTTTCCTGTTGCTTTATTAACACTTACTAATTTGGCATGGATTGGTCACTGTTCTGGCATGGAATTATGCATGTTGTTTTTGATTTGTACACCAGGTACACTTCCACCAGTAGCAGATAAGAAAAAAGCACAACAAAAAATGAGACCTAAAAAAGCACAATCTGGTCTCCGAAACACAGAACCATCTTACAAACAACAATCAATATCTTTATTCTCCTCTCTGAAATCTGAAAACACTGCTAACTTGGGTGATGTAGATTTCGGTCACTTACTAAAAACTAACGTACAAAACTCGGAGGGTGGAATTTTTGATCCGCATAGTGCCTTTACGTCTCTAAAAAGTAGTGAATCTAACAGTGATAGCATTAACCTGGGTGATATTCAAAGTGCTTATTTTCCCTCCTCCCCAAAACCCCTTTCGGCAGGAAGTTCGGAGAAGAATATTATTGACGGCTTGCCAGGACCACCCCAGGACCTGAAGGCGCCCATCGTCAAAGCGAGATTTATTATTCTAAGTTGGAAACCGCCACTAGAGAATGGTGATAGCATACAGGCCTATTCAGTTTATTATCGGCAGGAGGGGAGCGACAGGTAACTTTTCTTTTAATCAAATGCTAGCCAACTTTGTTAAAATATGCTCTCATTCGCAGAGAGCGATACCAGAACACCAGCAGGTCGAAATTGGAAGAAATCAACATTGGTGGCTTACTGCCCGGTCGCGTTTATCACTTTCGAGTCGTTCCAATCAACGCATTGGGAGTAGGAGTATCGTCCGAAATTTTGACGGTCACTACGCAATCGGAGGAACATGTTGCTAGTGCACCACAAAACTTTGAAGTCTACGCCACTAGTCCGCGAAATATTCATATAAATTGGCAACCGCCTGAAACACCTAATGGGAAAATTCTGCGTTATACAATCTACTATATGGAGGTTAGTTTTTCTGGATCAAAATGAGTTAAACTAACCTAACTTATATTAGTAGAAAGGTTGATAATATCTGACATTCAGGGTATGAAACTGAAATTTTTAATGTTCTTATATAACCCTTGAGGAACTTAAAATATTGGCATAAACTGTTCTATTTCTTAACTTAAAATCTGCTTACAATTTTCATATAGTTACTAGTGAGCGCTGGATATATTTTAACCATATTTATACAGCTCTTAACTTTTTGGACTTTTTTAATTAAAAAATTGTGCACTTGGTTAATGTCAGTGCAAGCAATAATTTCCAAGAAAAACATGGTTAATGTTGCTATACATTACAAGTATGCCACCTTTCCGTTGGTGTCGCGTCCTGAAGCTGTTGTGGCAGAAACGTCGACTAGCACACAGTCGGAGCTGGTCCTGCGGTATTTAAAACTGTAAAGTTCAGGGCGCCAGTAACTTATCAAATACCTACGTTTCTCAGGTCATTCAAAATCCGGTTACAAAATTTTAAGTTCAAAAACTTACTCGGACGCTTATACCCAAACCGAAAAAAAACAAGTATTAAAATATTCAAAAATCTAAATTTAATATATTTATAGTCTGACAAGTTAGTAGCATCAGAATTTGATCTTAGTTTCAATAATATACTTGTGTGAAGATTCAACCAGATGACAATAATTATAAGTATAAACTTAACCGCTTGTGATCACAGGTGGCACACAATAAAAAAATAATAATGAATATTATAAATAGGTGATAATAATTTTTGTAATTTACTTATATAAAAAAACAGTTGTAAAAAAAATAGTGGTGTAAAATAGCATGCTATTTAGTTTTGGGTGATATATATCAAAATATATATCATTATATATATCAGATGAATTTTGTTAAAAAAAACTATACTCAAATTAGTTTTTTTATATTGCTAATGCCTTACTGATTAATTTGACACCAAATACATGTTATATATATGAACTTTTAGAAAAGTTATCAAGTGATCTTTATTTTTTTTTATATTTAGATTGGAATTTTTTATTTTTTTTATCATAATGACTTCTAATTTTTGTTGCGTACTACTGACTGTTTATAATCAAGTACGCTGTTTATTAGCAATTTAGTTTTATCAACCCAGAAATAAAAAATGGGAAATTTCTAGAACAAGAAAATTTAGTCTAAAAAAAAATTAAAGATAAAAATTGAAATAAAAATTATCAAAAACTTATGATAATAAAGAAACTGCTTTAAAGTAGTACTTAAAAATCTGAAATTTTAGGGGTGTACTATAGATGAAAAGACCTAAGAGCGCACGTAATTTCAACTCACCCCTTCCACCCTAGGGGGTGGGGTGAAGGGGTTTTCTTTAGATGTACCCTATTTATTTTGCGATTTTCGGATTCTACGCATAAAACTACCCCCGGAAACGCGTTCTTGGGGGTACGTCTAAAAGACCACCCCTCACCCCCTCTGCACGTACTAGGGTGGAAAAGGCAAGTTGAAATCAGGTTCGCTCTTAGGTCTCACCACTTATAGTACAATTTCAGATTTCTATATTTATTTTTGACGGAGAAAAATGCCCATCGAAAAAACGACAAAATCCATACGAGGGTGGTGGTTTGGTTTTTGTGCGAATTTGGCAAGAACGCGCTTTCGGGGGTAGTTTTGCGCGTAGAATCCAAAACTCGCAAAATGAGTAGGGTACATCTAAAAAAACCACCGGTCACCCCCTATGGTGGAAGGGGTGACTTGAAATTACGTGCGCTCTTAGTTCTTCCCATCTATAGTACACCCCTAAAATTTCTTTTTTTTATATTCATTTTTGTCGGAAATATGCCAGGTACCCAAGAGCCACTACAGTCCAACTCAACCCTACCACACCACAAGTTTTTAGTTTTAAAATGTAAGGTTATGTTTGAAATTTGGCTTTATTGATGAAATGGCGGGAAAATTGATATATATCAGCTATTAACATATATATAATAGCTGATATGTATCAAAAATTGATATATATCAATTTATTATATATTTTCACTCACATCACTAAAAAAAAACATACAAGACAAAACTATAGGTTCATACGGACATACAAGTGTATTAAAAAAAACCATAATTGACGTGTATCAAGACAAAATTACGATAAATGTCGTCATTGGTATGAATTATCACTCATCAAACCAATAATAAAAAGTATTTATATAGGTATAGATTTAGAAAAGTAGGGATAATAAATCCAATATGATTAAAAAAAAAAGGATAACTAAAACTACAGCTTATCTATGGCTGTTCAACGTCAGGGTACAGCAAAATGGCGGAGCAGTTTAATGGGACAGCCGGTATACTGCAATAGCTCCCAATTTTCCACAATTTCTGATTTGCACGAATTGTAAGCCAGCCAGCAAGCATTCACCTTTCTGCTATAACTGTTGGGTGTTGATATGGCAGGTAGAAAGGATGTACAATGCACCAGAGTCTACACCATGTACTAAAAAGCCCTAAAATCGAGATTTACACCACTATTACGGTCTAGTCGATCAGGGAAAACAACAAATAATGACTTACGTGGTTTGAGGGTGGCTTGGTAGTGAACTATACCGGGTGATTCAGAACTTATCCAAAAAAAAAAAATTCTGGATGTACAGGAGACTCTTACAAATACAATTTTGTAAAGAAAAACTCAAAAAGTGCAGTTTGAAAATGATTTAAAAATACACTTCTGCACGCCACTGGAAACTGGTCCACTGTAAAACCTGACCTGGCACAATGCGACCGTCAAGGCGGCAGTGATAAAAACTGGCAAAAACTTGAAAGAATTTCGCAAGGAAAAGAATAAATAGAATTTTATAGCACCTATTTTATATCAGCAAATTCAACTGATTTTGCCGCTATTGTTATTATTAATTAATAAAATCCATTTGTGGTTTTAAATAATAAAATAATTTGACATACCTGATGTTACAATAACTGTTCAATCTGAGTAAGACGGACCGACGTGTAAACACATTTGGGTCCGTTTTACTCAGTTTCTACGAACTAACACAAATTCTGTCTTGTTTCACCATAACCCAAATACTTCACCATAATACAAATATTTTCTCGCTTCACCATAAACTAAAACAATATCCATCAACTCCGAGTTGCTATACACGCAAGCCATTTTTGACACTAACTACTAAAAAACTATTATAAACATCGGATTTCAGTATTCGGAGTCGTTGAGGCTATGTGGCCTCCAGGAGTATTACAAATGACACTAGAGACTACAGTTGCCCAGCTATGTAATGGTTGAAAGCACTACAACTTCAATTATTTTTTTTTTCTGAAATTATAAGGATTTTACAAAAATTTTTTTTACAATATTGACCATTTCTCATGCCGCATCTATTCCCAAATTTTTTTGGATAAGTTGTGAATCACCCTGTATACATATAATAGCTTGTGCAATTTATCTAGGTGTTGAAAATGCGGGCAGATGTCTTTAAATCCAGCAATGCAACCAAAACTATGAGCCGTTAGCACCGTTTCCAAACAATACAGTCACAGTTATAATGTAATTTTGTAATATATCCCGAAGGAACACTTTACAATGTTAATATCGACGAAAATTGCAATAATTCACCTGCTTCACACTTAAATAGCAAACTCTATTTCTAAGAATGATAAGTATATCGATACGAACGGTTTTTGTGGTTTGAATCGCCGCAAAAACGCTGTTCTATGAATATTCAAGACTACACCAACAATTTTTAACAGTAATAACAAAAGTTAAATAATTTTTAACAAATGGCATTACTTAATTTTAACTGCTTAACTTTAAATAATAATAATAATATACTGATTAAATTTAAAGATAATAAAACTACTCAAATTTATTTAAATATCTCCAAAGGAAAGAAATGTGAATTTTATGTGTATTTGGTTGTATACTACTAGAAGTTGTCTGATTTTTGAGCTGTTTACTCTATAATTATTCAAAATTATACAATGATTAAAATTTTAACCTTACAAATAATTAATAATTTGAACCAGAGACCAGGCTATAATTTTTTCAAAGTTTTTTGACACGTTGAACCCAACCTCAGAATTACTTCATCACGTAGGGTTGCCAGACGCCCTGAATTTCGGCGGACGTCCACCATTTGAACTAATTTTTTGTCAATCGTCCTATGCCCTACCACTTCTTGTAGGACGCCAAATGTCCTTAATTTTACATCATGGTTATATTTTTTCAAAAAAAAAAACAATATTTTTCACAATCCGTTATCGCGTCCTGAAAATAACATTCAGATTATCGATCTTTTCTTTCTTTCATGTTGGTAAATTCTATTTCTATAAAATTAAAAATTATTAAAACAATAAGAGCAATATTACATTAAAATGTATCAATCTGTTTCACCAGCTGGTGATTAGTGTGATTTTTCACAAGATTCTGTTCAATCAAACAGCGATCACATTATCTCGAGTGTAAACATAATGGTTTGTCATTGTTAATTGTAAACAAATCATTAATATTGGTGACGTTAAAATTTAAGGATTTTTATTTGACAATATCAACGTCACGTGGCTTGTAATCATTTATAGAATCTCCGTATAATTAGAATCGTTTTGTATTATTGATTGTTGTGTACACTTTATTATTTATATTTTCAGTAGATCTCAACCCAAAGGACATATTTAAATAATTTTTTTTTTAATAGAATTTATTGCCTATTTCGTAAATTGCCCTTATAGACCGATCGAAGTAACTCATTTAGAGGGAAAAAAAAGAAAATTGTTCCCTGAACTTTTATAACTGGAAATGGTAAAGGGGCTTATAATAAACGAAAAAAAATAAATGCGTAAGCAATTGTGATTTGGGGGGTTGAAAAGTTATGAAAAATTGTATCATTGGGATTTCTGCCGAAAGTTGACGTCAAACAAATAAGTATCCAATAGAAAAGTTGTAGATCATGCAAAAATCTACAACTTTTGTAGAGGTCACTTTTTAAGACGACCTTAAAATTTCCGAGAAAAATGCGAATAACGTCTTTTTTTTCTTATTTTTCGTTTTTTATTTTTCATTTCCGCAAATATAATTTAATTTTGACAAAACTTGGTGAAAGTGTAACTTTCTGTCGTAAATAACCACAATTTTTTTTTAGATAAAAAAATCAAGAAGTTTCTGAGCATGTTTTTGAACTGTGATTACAGATTTTTTTATTTCACCAAAAAGTATATGTCAAAACGAAAAAATGATCACTGGCAGAACTCTGTATGATGATTTTTCTAAGTAGAATTTTTCTTTAATAAAAAGTGTTTCAGACCGGAAAAAATTAATATCTCGGAAACTTCTTGATTTCTTTATCTAAAAAAATGTGTGGTTATTTAAGACAGAAAGGTGTACTTTCACCAAATTTCGTCAAAATTAAATTATTTTTGCAAAAATGAGAAATAAAAAACGAAAAATCAGAAAAAACCTGTTTTTCGCATTTTTCTCGGAAATTTTAAAGTTATATTAAAAAGTGACCTCTACAAAAGTTGTAGATTTTTGCATGATCTACAACTTTAGTATTGAATACTTTTTTGTTTGACGTTAACTTTCCCCAGAAATCCCAATGATACAATTTTTCATAACTTTTCAACCCCCCAAATCAACCCTCCGCCGCCCCTGCTCACGCATTTATTTTTTTTTTTTTCGTTTATCATAAGCCTCTTTACCATTTCCAATTATAAAAGTCCAGGTAACATTTTTTTTTTCTCCAAGTGTAATTTGGTTGGACTATTAATTTTTACGTTTGTTCTTAATATTTAGCCGTTTTATCCTGAAACTAAGAAATTAAAAGTTAGCAACCCTACCGTCACATCAGATTTTCTCCTACATAACTTGTTATGCCATCCGAAAATACTTCTCTTCCCCTTCAAAATCCATTTTGAATTGTTCAACTACTTTCCTGTCTGTGACAATCATCCATTCAAATTGATTACTTTGGCATATTCGATATTGGGAAATTGAATAGTACGAGGCGAAAACTGAAAAAGAGATTACAAACACCGAAATTTCCAATAGTTGTCAATCGTCGATTGTGAAATTGAGGTCAGAATTACTATATTTAAAACGGCAAATCCAATAGGTATGGCAGATGGAGAAAAAAAAATTTTGAAATTTAGAAATGAAAAAAATATCGAATACTGCACAAATTTTGTAGAAGAGAATATGGATATAAATTTTTTCATTTAATGCAGTGTTTTTGATAAAAAAAATGGTGAGGATTTCAAATTATGATTACTACAGTGCCTTCATAAATGATTACAAGCCACATGAGCGCCGAGCTTAGGCAACCCAACATTACACAACTGAACTAAAAATTCATAAATGTTGGCTTCATCAATATTAAGATTTGTTTACAACGAATAACGACGAACTGGTGTATCTCTGCTCAAGATAATGCAATCACTGATTTTCAAAATATGTCGAAAATTAGTAATATGAGTTAATTTCTCATTTGCTTATATTTTAATCAATAAATAATATTTGAATTATACTTTAATCACAAAAGAAATGATGATTAAATTAATAAATTAATTATAAAAAAATTAATATTTTATTCATACCTAATTGCATTAATAAATCGGGATTTAAAAAATGTTGACAAATTTTTATTTTAAATTTATGAATGTATATTATATTTATTTATATGTATAAAAATATATATTAAGAATTTAATCGCACTTTTTTACATGGGATTTCGTTTTCTACTTCGATATTATATTCATCATCTAACCGTATATATGTGAAAGAAAGACTCTTTTTTTAATATTAATTTTTTGTTGTGATTAAAGTACCTATAATTCAAATATTATTTATTGTTTAAAATATAAGCAAATGAGAAATTAACTCATTATATTACTAATTTTCGACATATTTTGAAAATAATAGTTGTTTACACAATTTTAGAATATTTAAATAAATTTGTTTTTGATCTCTGATAATTAAAGGAAGTTTAAAGATAAATAATTATCAGACCGTTGAAAGTCCAATAATTATTAGCGATAGGCATTTGAAAATACGCTAATTGTTTTTTAAATCGCGAGACATCGATTTAAAAAAAAATCATCAAAATCGGACCTCTAGAAGCTAAGATATTAAAAATTTTTAAGCGCGTCGCGGTTTTGAACTCGCGGATTCAATTTCAAGCAGGCCGAAGCGGCCGCGCTCTCTGCTTCTCCCACCACCACCACCCGTACGATTTTCTTAAATTTCTCGCTTGCATAAATAACTTTAAACACGTTTTAAAGTAGGTTGCCAATGAAGAAAAGTATTGTAAACTTAGACCTGGTAAATACTCGATTTTTTTATGTAACGTTTCGTCTCTCCAGGATCATCATCAACTTCATTTTTTTAAATATGACCCTAGAAATTGTTTTATATTTTTTGCAAGCCTTTATGACCCCCAATACTGTACTGCCTCAGCCCGAACCAGATTCAGACGTTTTGTCTCGAAAAATTCATCTTCAGTGTATTCGTTCCAAATTTATCTAAATTTTTTATTTATATTTCTTTGTTTATTGAATTATCGTACACTGTAAGTGTCGTTAGACCCCTGTGTTACATATAAAAATTGATTATGCCATTGGATAGAGGACAAAAAGTGGCCATAAGAAAGTGTTCTTCTTTTTTCAATATCACCTCAAATAAGGCTGAAATTAAACAAAAACGGATTTCCAAAATTTCGGTTTTTACAAATATTTCGAAAATTAATCATGTTAGCCTTGATTTTTTAGAGGCATAATGTTGGTCCCCTGATTGAGCAACTTTGCCCCCATTTAAGCTAGTTTGTACCTCTTACCGTTTCCGAGATCCCTGTAGTGAGAAGCGAATTTGTAACAGCCTGTAGATTTGAATTTCTCATCTCGGCATAATTCTAGGCATAAAATTTCATGTCAATTTTTGAAATCCCATTATTTATGAAAATTAAAAATAAATATGTATGTTTGACACCCTGCATATTTCTTATTATCAACTTTTGTACCAAAAAATTAAGGTGAATCAGTCTACATATTTTGGTCCGAAACCCTACACAAAGAAGTTTTATAATCACATATTTTTTTCCTTTATTTTAGACAAGTGTCTCTTTAGAACACAATGTAGATACGGTGGAGTTATCATACGATTTGATGGGCTTAAATCCATACACTGAGTACAGTGTGTGGGTAGTGGCAGTAAATCACAATGGTGCCGGAGCTGCTACAGAGGAGAAGCTAGTGAGGACTTTCAGTACGACACCTTCCGAAGCTCCAAGCAATGTTACCACAGAACCTTCCAGTACCGTAAGCATATTGTATTGAATAACAATAGTACAGTTAAAGAACTAAACATTATAAAATTTCACACTTCACTATATTTTGGTCTCCTTTTCCTTTTCAGAATATTGTTGTGCGATGGGAGCCCCCACCACCCGAGTCTCAAAACGGCATAATTTTAGGTTATAAAATTAAGTACCGGAAACAGGGGAAAGGTAAAGGAAATACAATAACCACACAACCAAGTGACAGACACTACTTCATCGGTGATTTAGAAAGAGGTGCGGTGTATCAAATTAGGTTATGGGCGATGAATGTTAATGGTACTGGGCCCCCAACAGATTGGATAGATGTTGAAACCTTCCAGAACGATGTTGATGAAAGCAAAGTGCCTGATAAACCCAGTGTTATAAGAGGTTAGTGTTTTATTAAGATTATCGTATTTATCAGGTTACATATTAAAGTTCAAAAAAAGAATGCTTGGTAGAGATGCATGGCATGGTACAATTTTTCGGGGTACTGGTTTCTTTCAGTACATTTTCTGGTACTACCTATCGGGATTGAAGTGAATCTTAATGCTTGAGGTAGGGTTCACTGATTTCCAGTAACTTTCCAAAAAAGTAAATTATATTTTAGCTGTAAATAGCTAAAATATGTGTTACTAGTAATTGCGGTTCCGTCAGTTGTTATGCTGTGTTTTGTGTTTCTGTATAATATGCTTGGTTTAAAAAGTAATATTTGGAAGATTTATATTATATTTTATATTTATTAAAAAAAAATTGCAGGGATAAATATTTGTTTATTAAAAAATATTGAAATAAATGCTGGATTGTGAATGTTGCTGTTTTTTGTGTACCGGTACTTTTTTATGCGGTATTGCTAGGGTTCCTACCTCTCCGGAAATAATTTCACAGGATTTTCTAAAATAAAATAGCTCGTAGTAGGTAGCGACTTCCAATTATCCCCGTGCCTTTCCTTTGTTTGTTACTAAATATTCGGCTTGACTTTCCATTCAACCCCCCCCCCCTTCATTCAAATCTCCCGAGTTGGTTCCAGCACCTATATGTTTAGCCTAAACTTGGTACAACTAAGAAATTGTGCCATTAAAAAAATAATATCAATATACAAGGTGATGCAAGAGAATGCTAAATAACTATATTATACTCAAAAATATTTAATGGTAACATTACCTAAACAATCTAATCTGGACATTCGTAATATGTAATTTTTTTTATGATGAAAATTAAAAAATTTCAGGAAAGGAAGCAGTGTCTATTGCCTCGTCCTTGTCATTATTTTTATACAAATTATCCTTAGTCGTGTACGATACTAAATAATTATTTAATTATCACAGCCTTCAAATTCTTTTAGGTACTTCCTGCAAAGTTTACACAAGCTTCACACACTCCATATGCGTCAAAGTGGTTGTTTTTTAATTCGTTATCATAATCTGCATTCTAAGATTCCTGTTTTTTTTTTTAACCACTTATTATCAGAATCCATGTGTCTGGAATTACCTATGTGAATATTAAAATTCTATTTATTCTATTCAATAATTGCAACCAGTTTCAACTTTTACGATATGACAGTGGCGATTGGGGAAAACTTAATTGATCATATTTTTTATGAGTAGAACATGTACAATTTTTGAGATGATTTCTAGACCCACAAAAAGAAATTTTCAGATGAAAATATTTTGATCCGAATTTGCTAAAGAAGAAATTAAAATAGGGGGAAATCTGAAAAAGGGTTACATGTATATGAGCAAAATATATTTTTTTCATAATCACTAATACCTAATAAATTTGGTGTTTTATTATTTTATTTTTCTAAAAATTTTCATTTATGAAATTTGGAAAATGCGATGTTAGTAATAAACTAAAATTTGAACAAGTATAGCTGTGAAAAACATTAGTTTTGTTGAAAATAAAAAAACTGTTAGTTGATTTTGAAAAAAAATGTTTTGCATATATGTATATAGGGTGTCGCCCTTAAATGTGATACATGCCTGTAACTTTTTTATTTTTTGGCCGATTTCAAAAATGTTTTTTTAGATAGTAAGGTAAAAAAAAACTATCTAACTGTGATACTACTGTTTTCATTAATGCACTACACGGCCAACTAGGACGCGTTTTTTAGACGGCAAAACAGCTAATTGGTATTAGCGATTTTTTTTCCAAAAAACAGATTACATGTTCTCATTCAGCATCCCTTAAAACATATTATCACCAAGTTTCAACAAATTCGATACATCTTCAGACGAGCACTCCATGATGTCCTAGTTGGCCGTAATAAAAACAGCAGTATCACAGTTAGTTTTTTTTACCCTACATTCTAAAAAAAATTTTGAAATCGGCCAAAAAATAAAGAAGATACAGGCTTGTATCACATTTAAGTGCGACATCATGGAGTGCTCGCCTGAAGTTGTATCAAATTTGATGAAACTTAGTGATAAGACATTTTAAGGAATGGTGAATGAGAATACGTAATCTGTTTTTTGGAAAAAAAAATCGCTAATACCAATTAGCTGTTTTGACGTCAAAAAAAACGTGTCATAGTTGGTGGAGTATTGCATTAATAAAAACAGCAATATTACAGTTAGATAAAATTATTTTTATCCTACATTATACAAAAAGAAATTTTTAAAATCGGTGAAAACATAAAGAAGTTACAGCTATCTATGTGCGGTCACCGGAACAGTATACATGTATCTATCATGAATTTGTAACGTTTTGCGTGAAGCGAGTGTTTGCTCTAGTCTGACGTAAACCTTGTGAAAGAATATTGTCCAATTTACCTTTTCAAATTTTGTATTATGTGGTCACTTTGCTTGCAGTCCGTCCTACTTTCGATAAACTCTATGTGATGTGGTCGCCACCCCAGAATCAGAACATAAGGGTGCGACACTATATACTTGGCTGGGGAAAAGGCATCCCCGATATGTATTCTCAGGAATTAGGTGAAAGAAACCGAACATACATAATTGAGCGACTAGGTAATTATAAAGCTGAAAAATATATAACTGAAATTAATGTGAATTCATTTCAGAACCAAATTCGGAATATGTTCTGAGCTTGAGGGCTAGTAATCAAGTCGGGGCTGGTCCGCCTATATACACAACTATTCGAACTCAGGACGAACCCCCTCCAGAACCCTCAGCAGCCTTGTACCCTCCCATGGGGCTTAAAGCACAAGTTTTGAGTACCACTTCTGTGGTTTTGTACTGGACAGATCCTACTTTAAAACAAAGCCAGGTAAATTATTTTAAAGGGAAGTTACATTAGAGGAATATAAATGTTATTTTTTTCAGTATGTGAGAGACAGTCGATATTATACTGTTAAGTATACTGATGAAAAAACACAGAAGTCTCGATTTCTTAACGTTACGGATTTGAATGTGATGGTCGACGATCTCAAGCCAAATACTTTATATGATTTTTCTGTTAAATTGGTTAAAGGTGAGACTTTCAAAAATAACACAAATTTCAGAAGTTTTTTATACAGGATATCTAAAAACAATAAACAAAAAATTTAAAAATACGAAGGAATTTTCTTCAACAAAAAAAGAAAATAGTGGTTCTCATAATAAAGTTAGATAACTTCAATGTCATTGAATTATTTATTTATTTACTTATTTTTTTTATTAATATTTTTTCCAATTTAATATATTTTTTAAATTTCTTCCACATATTAGTAACAAACTACTTAAAAAAAAAGAAAACATAATTCTCAAGCCCTAAAAAAGTTAAATGCCCATATTGACTAAAAAATTAATATTATAGGTCATTCAAAAATCCTACAGAAAGGTCTTCTTGTTACAAGTCATTAGCCATTTCTGAGAACAAAAATCTTCTAATTCTGGTGAATTATTAATATTTTGTGCTATTTCATAACTTATAAATTGGTCAATATAATTAAAGATGGTTTGACAGATGTTAATGGTTAATGTTAATTGTATAAAACAAAATCTTCTATGTTTAAATTCTTCTCCGTTAATACTGCCTAATAGATATATTTTAACTATTTTTAAAGGTGCCTCAAAATATTAAATGAGTTTTTTTTCTCAAAAATAATGTTAATTTTATAGTCAAGAGGAATCATATGTGGTTTAGGGCTTTACAGCTTCGATTTTTTTTTGTAGTTTAATTCCAATACAAGTGGTTAAATGATTTTTGTGCTGGTTGGCACAACATTCATTTAGACTTCTTGACATTTCGAGTGCATGTCTCTCCTTCAGAGGTAACTTTGAAACTGAAAAAATCCAGGTCGATATTTATTTTTGCTGCATTACGTTCCAGTGCATAGTTTGATCTGTGATCTTTTCTATTCTCACCAGAATTTTGATATTACGTATGTCCATTATTTAATAAAGATTATTATTATTATTGTTAACACAAAGTTAAAAATTAAAAATATTACTAAAAGGATTACAATGTACAGAAATCAGAATTTTCGGAGCACAAGGCCAATAGAAGGCACTTATTGGACCTAAGTAATATCATAATAGGCATAATGACAGTAACCAAGAATCACTAAAATTATGTATTTATCTAATGAAATATGATTCATGGATAATAAAAAACGTATTTATTTTTATATTATAATGAACGAGATTGATAATATTTTTGATAAAATAAAACTACAAAATACAGCAAACCGCCATGACAGGTTGAACACCAATCAGAGCGAATTACGTCACATCTATGTAAATGTCATTTTGTGTCATTTGTACTTCGACAATATCCGCAGTATTTATCTCCGTTTAAATATATTGTGTTTCCCAACTATCAGTTGCTTAGTTTTGTGTTACCAAAACCATAATCAGGAAATGTTAGGGACTTGAAAAGTTTCTAAAAGAAGGAAAGAAAATAAAGCTCAACAACTGCGAGTTAATAAAATGTCAAAAAGACCATGTTTCATGTCATCAAAAGGTTATCCATGCATGAATTGGTGCTGAAATACAAAGAACAGTCCTGCGACACATTTTTGAAAAAACTCTTATTGATTGATGAAGATGACATGAAAGTTGAAGAAGATACGAGACCAACATCAAAGCTGTTTTTGGAATGAGTTAAGATATGGCGGAGTGACAGCCTCACGAGCGTTTGAATTTAATCGGTGCAAAAACCAATGATGCAATTTTGTTCAAGTTAATAATGGGAGGATGGGAGGAAAAATCTCAGACGCATCTGCCATGAAACGCGATAGAATGTTGGAGGATGAAGTGGGGGAAACTGTATGTACCTGTTTGGAAAAAATTTAAAAAATGTGGTATAATGCTTTGCAAAAACTATTCCATGATAGTAGGATCGCCTAATGGAATCTGTGAAGGCAGTATTATTGAAATTAAATGTACCACGAATATGAAGACTTAAGAATTATGTGGAAAAAGGAAAACAGACCCAGATGTTTTATGTGCAGATGGCAGCTACAAATGTATTTAACACGGCTTCAAAAGGGCTGTTTCGGTGTAATTCTTTGCAACTATTGTACAAATAAAAAAATTTAAATAATTAANACAGCGAAAGCAACCCTCAATGCTTTGCAAAAACTATTCCATGATAGTAGGATCGCCTAATGGAATCTGTGAAGACAGTATTATTGAAATTAAATGTACTACGAATATGAAGACTTAAGAATTATGTGGAAAAAGGAAAACAGACCCAGATGTTTTATGTGCAGATGGCAGCTACAAATGTATTTAACACGGCTTCAAAAGGGCTATTTCGGTGTAATTCTTTGCAACTATTGTACAAATAAAAAAATTGAAATAATTAATGTTACATTTGATGACAACTATGTATCAGATTTTCTTAATATTTTAGTCTCTTCATGTGCATCCATTATTATACCAAAGTACGATTTGACGGTAAATGAAATGCATATACTATTATGGTAACTTTGTATTTTTATTTAACTATTAAATCTTGTAACACAAAATATTAGCACCTTGTGTTTACTGTTGGCAAACATAGATGTGACGTCACGTAGACACCATGACACCGGCGACTGTTTTTACGTGAGTTTAGACTTAAAATTAAAATGTTAACATTTTTCTACTAAACCTTTTATTTTCTACAGAAATAAGATATTTTTTGGAAATAGTAAATACTTATGAACGTCATAGAACAGTTTTTCAAAATCTCTCATCATGCCTATTCTAGTGAGAGAAGATTCTGGCTAAAACCCTACCGAAAGATAAAGATTGTTTCAAATGGGTCAACCAGATTGCCATGAACTAATATGCACACACTAAATCAGTTTCACATTTTCTTCAAGAAGAGAGCGAAAAGGCTCTTAAAACATGAAAAATCTGCTGACAACCAACTCAAAAACTGTTCAACCACTGACAACTGCCATAGAAGCCTACAGATCAAACCAATAATAATTTTAAAAAAATTACTTAACTGAAGAAAGTAGTAACTTTCAGGTCGTGTAACTCCGTTAATACTGAGCTTTCAAAAAAGTGGCATAGAAATTTGTACCACCACAAAACCTTCATAAATGTTTACAAACCATGTGACCGCAGAGCTTAGGTAACCAACATTTCCCGACTGGAATAAATCTTGGCGTCACCAATATCAATGATTGGTTTACAATGAACAATGACAAACCTGTTCCAAACAAAATTACTAGTCTAGAATTTATAATTTCTGGCACCCATATTACAGTAACTACACCCATATACAGTAACTGAGATTTTCCTTATTTTCAAAAATATTCTGTCTGATTATACTTTTATTTCAGGCCGCAAAGCGAGCTCCTGGAGTATGGTTGTGCAAAATCGCACCTGGGAGCTTCCTCCAAATGTAGCGCCTAGAGACCTAGACGTACATTTAAAAGATGAAGAATCACAGTTGGTTGAATTAACTTGGCAACCCCCCAAAATTACAAGCGGACGTATAACTGGTTACGTTATTCTTTATTCTGACAACAAGACTTTTCCTGATCCCGAATGGAACGTCTCTGCAGTCAAGGGTGATGTCCATTCAAGCATCATTTATGACCTGAAACCTTTTACTGTGTATTATTTTAAAGTGCAAGCAAGAAACAGTAGAGGATATGGGCCGTTTTCTAATTTGGTGTCGTTTAGGACTGGTCGAAGTATGTATTTAATTTTTTTTTATATTTCTTTCACATCATAAATATACAGGGTGAAAAAAATTAAAATAAATTAGAAACAAAAAATATGATATAACAGTTGCACTACTTCCTAGCTAGTTCAAGTGAGCATATTATTTTTGCAGTATTCTGGATTTCCTAAAAAAAAAAATTGCCATTCTAGTAGACCTTCGCTATGTTCCATCGTGTCCCAAAAGCCTTTTTACTTTGATTACTCCACTTATAACAAAATTGAGATCATTGAATAAATCGCTTGGTATAGTACAATATACCATTTACTGTGCCATTACCTAGGATTAATATTGTTTTATTTCCTTTCATTTTACCTTAAATTTTGCTTTTTATTGTTTTTAACATTTTTGTTTATATATTTTTTTAGATGTAGCCACGCATGCCTCGGTTCAAGGCCAGCAGTCGGGTAATTTTTTTTTATCGTTTTATGCCCATACTAACAAAAGTTATGATTTCATTGACTACATATTTAACATTTAACATTAAATTTTTTGTTTTTTCCCCAGTTTTGTATTAATAATATTCTGAAAAAAAATGTACTGCTAACATAGTTGTTACATTTAGTATAGCTGAAGGAGTAACCACGCTACCAGAAAATTTACATGTGTTGCCGAATTCTAATGATATCTGGGAATTGCTTTAAAATGATAGCGAAAATTTTTCTATAAAAACTCATTTTTGTTTCATTTTTTTAATTCAACGTAAATTTCTGATAATATTTCAAATGTTTTTGAGAAAATCGCAGGTCTATTGTAAATACAGGGTGTTCACCTAAGAGGGGTGAACTGTTAACTGTAAAATTTAAAAAAAAACTGGTTTTAATAAAAGTTGTCTGGAATCATGTGGGCCATATAAAGAATATATTTTCAACTTTACAGGGTGTTCCATTCCACGTGGGCGCTTCATAACTTTGTTATTTTAAATGGAACGTTCAGTATATTATTGCATTTTTGAAGTCCTTGGTTAATATTAGGTAGAGTTTATTAAATGTATATGGTGTTTAAAACTTACCGTTTTGGAGATAATCAATTGTTTTTTAAGAAAAATGAGCCTAGATAGCGTCTAAACTGTAAGAGTTAGAAGCCTGCAGTTTTCACAGTTCGTTTTGGCATAAATTACTCTATCATGTCATCTGTGAGCAAAACGTGTACGTTATTCAGACTCGGAAATACTGAGACCTACATTTAATAATCTTACGAGTTGAAAAACTTTTTTTTTTGCAAAATTGAATGCTCTTTTGACTGATATAAAGTTGTCCATACTTATCTTTAACAGTTTTCCAGAAAAACGTCGATACATAGGATTTTACAAAAGCACGGCACAGCACATCCTTATAGCAGTACACCAAGAGTTACTAAAAGTAGACTTTCATCGGAGACTGGAATTTTGTCAGTGGGCACTTGAGATGTTACATCAAGATGATTTTTTTAAATGGGTCATGTTCTCCAATGGGGCTACTTTTCATAAAAATGATTTCGTTAATAGTCATAATTGCCATTATTATGACACAGTAAATCCTCACCAATTCCAGACAACTCATAGCCAACTTTGAACGTGTGGAACAATTTTGGGAACCCATGTCATTGGACCATTCTTTTTTGACCAGCATCTAACTGGAGCAGTTATTTAAACTTTTTAACAAACACTAGAAGATTTATTAGGCAACATTCCTTCACTCCAAAAAATGTCCTTCTCACCTCACAATACCGCAGCGGCTCGGCAGTTTTTACACGAAACTTTTCCCAACATAGGGATTGGGCATGGGGGACCAGTGAGTTGGCCTTCAAGGTGTCCAGATATAACAAGTTGCGACTGCTTTTTATGGGAATTTATAAAAAGCAAAGTTTACATTACACCACCAACTACCACGGAAGATATGTGGCAGCGCATTACAGTAGCATTTCAAGAAATTATGCCAGACATGGTGACCAATATTGAACAGTCTTTTAAAAACCCAAATCGTTTGTGTATTAGTCAAAATGGAGGACACTTCGAGCAATTGATGTAAATCAGGGGTCTATGTATTCTTCTCCTTGTTGTGTTCCAAGTTTCAGTTTGTTTTGTTTTGCGTTTTGTTTTTGTTATTGTTAGTGGTTTACTTTTGTTTGGCAAAACATTTTTTAAACATGCCAGTAAATATTGACACTATCAATCCCAGGCCTGATCAAATGTGAGAGAAAAGTGGTTTTCCAAGTCCAGCATGACGTTGTTACATAGCTACGTTTTCGGACTTTAGAAAAGAACCTGATTTTTCTGGAAAACTGTTAAAGATAAGGTTTTAATTGTCAGTGTTGCGAGAGACAACTACTCCAAGGGCTATATGTCCCTACTGGCATTGAATTATACTCACAACACCTAGTGCAACAGCTAGAGTTGTTCGTCAGTTTAACCCACCAGGCACAGACCGGTTTCGGACTTAGTAGTCCTCATCAGTGTGTCATAGGTGAGACAACCGACGAATGAACCAGCTGTTTTGCGTCGTATCATCACGAGAAGGAAATACACTGTACGTGGGAACGCAAATGTCCCCATGTGTCGTGCTGACTCCCAACTGTGCCATTCAAATGGCTACAGTTGGAAGCAACCTGCTATATTGCTGGTACTTGTTGCCACCCACACAGGGCAATTAAAATATTGTCTTCGCCCTCTGTGGAAATGATTCCAGGCAACTTTTATTAAAACCATTTTTTTATAAATTTTTAAGTTTCAGAGTTACAGAAGAATCCCTCTTAGGTGGAACACCCTGTATATAATAATATTCTTCACAAGGTTTTACAACAACTCCAATATTGTTTCGGGTATTGTCAAGAAGTTGGTGGAGGTTAGTTTAACCAAATGTTCGAATAATTTTTTGCATAAAATTTAATTCATAAATCTATTAATAATTTCTTTTTTTTTTTCAACAAAACTGATTTTCTTGAAAACTATTAAAAAATTAAATAAAAAATGGGGGTTTCCTTTAAAAAATAAAATTTGTCACAATGTACTCATAATATTTAATTATAAAATCGGCGACAATTAAAAATTGATGGTAAAATTTTACTAAACTGTGCCATTTCAATGATTTTTTTTTAATGTAGGACCTTCCTAGGTGTACTTAGCGAATGTGTTACGATGACCACATTATAAACGAATTATTAATCTAAGGCATGCTACAATTTTATTTTCTATTCATTTTTGTAGTGATTAGATTAGTGATTTTTTATAAAAAAAAAAAACTGTTAATATCGTATTGTTCTCTCTAAAACTCAAAAACTCCAAAATTTTGTTACAAAACACGTTAATGAAATATTAGTGTCCTGTCAAAACTGCGGGATTGCCTGCAATTTCTGCGTGATTGCAAATGATTTCCTGCAAATATGTACAAGTATCGTGGAAAGTGGCTACTCCTTCGATAATTTCTTATAAGTTTTCAATTTGTTCTCATTACACTCACAGATACCAATGGTGTATTTTCTGGAAATATGCTACTGTACATCATCATTGGTGGCTGCATACTTGCCGTTACAACCATAGCAGTAGTCCTCATCTTCTTCTGTTGTCGCAAACGAAACATACCTATGTCCCCTGATAGAACCAAGAAAGGTTACCAAAAGGGAACGCAGGGTGTTAAACCTCCCGACCTGTGGATTCACCATGATCAGATGGAGCTTAAAGCCATGGAGAAGAGACATTCAAATAATGACGGTGCCAGCAGTAGTGGTGCTATGACGTTACCCAGGAGTGTGGGTGGGAACGAGTACGAAACACATGAGAACATCCACACAAATTCTTTAGATAAACGATCTTATGTTCCTAATTATGTTGGTATGTATAATAATTTAATTAAGATATATCTTATTTAATTGAAGTGGTGAATTAATGTGCAATTCGTTGTATATGCACATTGAATAATCAGTTAAATGAAATTAGCTCCAACCATTGAGTAATATTAAATTAAATAAATATATACATAGGTATTTAATTTTTCATGATTGTAAATCAAATCAACATTAATTTTTAAATTAACAGTAGTAGATTTTACGTTGAATTTTAATGGCACTTTTGAAAACACGACAATTTTGGAAACACTCGTGTTTTAAAATTTTAAATTTAGATTATGTTGTTATTATTAGCTCAAATGAATTTCTTCACCTATATAAATTGATATTATTATTTTATTGTCAATTTTGTTGAACTTGCTTAAAAAATATTTTTTTCTGTGATAAAATAATAAAATAATTAAGGAAAATTTTTGTAGAGGCTTCCAGTCAAATGTAAATGTTTGTTCACTAATGCCTTCAGTTAAGAATATTATTAGTACCTTTCTAATAAAATTAGCTGGTTGTTTTGAGATCACACTCTTGCATGTTTGCTGATTCTTGTAAATAATTATTTTTTTTCATTATTTACGCACAAATTCGCTTTTGCACACATAGGTGATGATAAAAACAAAAGAGCAGTGAAATCGAAGCTGATCACGTTACCAGTAGATTCCAAACCACCAAGAGAGCGTAAGTACTCCCACGCTTTGCATACACTGCACACAGAATCAAAGAGATGGTTTTGTTTTATATGTAATGTACTTGTAGTTTTCCTTTAAAACTAACTATTTAGAAAATTATTTTGGGCATTTAGTAGTCATTCGAACATAAATTTTTATGATTGTTATTTTTATAGAACAGATTTTTACATTTTTATTTTAATTAACAAAATTACTAATATGTATTTTTGTCATTCATCACTTATGACACTTTAATAAACTGATGAACTTTAATGCATAATTTGTCCATTAGAAGTAGATTTAAATAAAATATATACGATGTTAATTAAGTATGTCGACAAACTTTAAGGAAAGATTCTTTGAGTAACTTTAAGGCACAATAATTATATAGACATGGGTCCACAAATCAATAGTTTTTGAGATACGGGCTGTTGAAACTTAGAAAATCTTACCTTTTTGAAAATATCTCTGAAAAAGTTTGATGTAGAATGATGAAACTTGTGACGAACTTTCTGGGTGAACCCGAATGTCACACAAAAATTTGCCGTCCGGGTAACAGCAGTGGAGAAAAGTGTAAACGAGAGGTCTTGATCAGTAAAATCACTTCTTCTAATAGATATACTCCCATTTATTTTCACCACTGAGAAATCGGTGACGGTCAGTACTAACATTAGGTGAAATTTCGGGAAAACGGGAAACTAAGCTTTTTCCTGATTCTATTTTCGACTCGGGTTGACAGCTATTCGGGAATGACGGACTTTTATAGTCGATTTGTGACATAGATTAACTCTTCATCGGATATTAGTACGCAGACCCACAATAAATACAGAATTCAACGCTTACATTACAAGTTACATTGGATACTTAACTGATAAATTAATAAAGGTTCGTTACAAACTTATACTATTGATTTATTTAACTAAAGGTAAATGTCCACTGAATTAGGATGTTAATATGTTTACCAGTGGAGGAGATACCAGAAATTCGATACCACTGCATATTTTTAAAATTCAATCAGTACCTGTAACTATTTGTGGTGTTTCCCATAAAAAAGAAATTTTTCCATTTATTTGAAAAATGTAACATTTTCAATTTATTACTTTCTTAATTTTCATTAACATTTTAGAATATTTCACAAAATACAAAATAAGTCTAGATGTTGCGTTTCTCAAAAAAAAAAGTTTAGGTTTTCTTTTTGCTATAAATACAATTTTAAATACAAACTTCAGTGAAAATCGCTTATATCGACCTTCAAGGGGCCGTTTGTTGTTACGGTTGTTATAACGGATAGACGTAATAAGCAATTACATATATTTTATTTAAAATTTTTATAGAAAAAAATGAGAAATTTACAATACAAGTCTTTAAGTATGTACATGTATAGCTTTGCATTCAAAAGATCTCGCGTGCTTCATTTTCAATTAATTGTTTTCGAACAGAGATTTTATTTTATTTCTATCCTTCCAAACTGTTTAATTCGTAGTGTGACACGCCATATTATTTTACTTGCTTGCATTAGTTTCTCTGTTTTTTAGCCTCTATATTATATGTGGTTTTTTCTTCTTTATTAAACACTTTTCTCTTCAAGATCGTGATAGAAAGTGGTAATTAATACATATAATATAACTTAGGATTTAATCGGAACTTCCAAATTCCGTCATTATATCCAATATGTCATATAGAACAGCGGTATTCAAACTGTGTTCTGCGGAACTCTGGAGTTCCATAGAACCTCTCTGAGGGTTCTGCGACTCAAAAATTTAAAATTTTATTATCGATAATTACAAAATTCAAAGGAATTTATACTCTTAAAACTTTTTATTTTTCTAAATACAGGCGTATAAGTTACTATAAGAGCTTTATCTATTTATGCAAGTGCAAGTAAGTCGGCTTATAACTGGTTATGTCGCATTTCCCTTCATTTTTGGCTAGAGATTTATAAGGAATATCCTGAAATTGCTGATCAGGCAACAAATGCACTAATGCCTTTTGCAACTACGTACCTGTGCGAAAAATCATTTTCCACATACGTAGCGACAAAAACAAAGTATCGCAATGCGCTTAATGCAGAATTGCAACTTACGACAATAGCACTTAATTTTACCATATTATGTAAAAATATTCAAGCACATCCTAGTCTGATTATATTTACTCTTTTTTTAGTTACTCAATAAATAGTTACTTTAAACTTTAATTGTTACCTAGTGGAATATTTATTTTGTTAATCGTAGTATTTATAAAAATATTAAATAATCAGTAAAAAATGTCTTCGAAAAATTTTTTTAGGTGTGGAGGTTCCTCAAAAAAATCGAAGTGTTGGCGGGGTTCCGCAAGTCATAGAGGTTTGAAGACCGCTGATATAGAGCAATGTCGTTATATCCAATTTTCAATGTCAATTCGGAAAAAATCAATAGCATAGAATTTTGTATTTTTTTAAAGTAGCAAGGGGTGACGGCTTAGAAAAAAATTGTGTCAATTGTATTTCGGACTTGTGAATAAGTTAGTTGTTTTTAAAAACATACAAAAAATTTTACTTTTTATGTGAAACGATTTATTATAATGTTATGTTAGGAAAGATATTTTTTTCTTGAAAACACCATAAGAAGTTGGAAGTAGTGACAGAATTTTGAAAATATCCAGTGGCATAGAATTTCTGGGTATTTTAGTGAAAATTATTATTTTATTATTATTCCCAGTATCTGTGCTGCTGGTACATCTATTTATATCGGAATACAGTGCATTTTCACCTTCAATTAGATAAATAATTATAAATCATTAGCTTAAGTTTCATCAATCTGCATCAAACTTCAACATATTTATAAAATCTTTTTGATATAAAATCACTTAAAGAATTGTCACTTATAATTTCACATACTTAATAAACATATTGTACTCTGTTTTGCTTTGTATTGTTTGTGGCGGTTGTGTTAGGTCCAAAATTTACTTCCAGATAAATAGAAAAATAAACTAAAAAAGGTAATGAAAGGTATTGAAAATCTAAGAGAAAAATAGTTGAGGATATATTAAAATATACAAGGTATTTACAAACTTGGAAATTATTCCTACCTTGTTATATTTACCTTATACTGACATCTTTATATACTGAACTTATTTAACAATAAAGTATGTAATGAACATATTGAGAACTGCTGAGGTCAAGAGGAAGTGACATTTCGTATTTTCACATTACGTAACATAACACAGTAAGTGCTCAGTGTTCTGCTACCTCTTCCGAGGAACCTTGTACCTTTACAAAAAGTTCTACAATTGTCTGACAGTCTATGACGTAGTGTGTCTGAAGTAATAGTTCTTCAACAACATTGACATATTTGTCATGTACTTGTATCCAAAAATAAAAGCTTAAACGATTTAAATCTGGAGAATAGAAAGGCCATGAAATCAGACTATCCACCTAACAGGAAATTCACTATTTAAATATTCTTGTACAATATAAGGGTAATGAGCTAGAGCCCCTTTCATGTGAATACCAGATTTCTTGGTACATTAGAAGGTATATACTTCAAGGAGAACTGCATGATAAACTACTATGGGCTCTTTGCACATGAAGTGGATATAGATATTATTTCCTAAATGTGTACAATATTGTATATTACAACTCGATTAGACATATCAATGGTTCTAATAATTGCATGCATAGATAAATAGAATCATTTTCTGTCGAATTCAGTATGTCCTCTTTGGCATTGCGTTGATGTAATACAAAGGTTTATCGTGACTACCATCACGTCCTTAATGAGACTGTATCTGACCAAAGTCACATATTTTTTGAACAACTGTTCTTACAGCGCTTGGTGCATGGCAAAGTAGAAAACGATTCACATTACATTGATTCTGCGGCTGCACCATTTTGTCTACATTCACTATATATCAACAACATATCCATAACATAACATAACATTTCTCCACTGAGTGGAATCCATTTTGGGTGAAAGAAAAATACCTAATAATAATGATACCAATAATAATAAGGATCAGTCCGAGCAAATTTTGGTTCAGATGTTGTTGATTAAAGGTATCACTTCTGCTAGACTTATATATTTCAGCAGTTCTCAAACAGTGATGTGTATTATTGAAAAAAAATTTTCTAGTTATTTTTCTCAGCATAAATTTTTAGCAATCAACTCCAAGTTTGCAAATACTTTATAATACATTTTCTCAATTTCAAATTTATTTACGAATCATCTCAGTGACCTGCAGTTTGATTTGTCATATGCATGACGTGTCATTATTATCAGCGCTACTTTTTGTGTAGGTTGAGGTTTGCTCACCGTTACAGTGTGTTTTAGGAAATTTATTATCGTTTTCTTATTTCAGCAATAGCAACACCTATAAATACTGCCACTCTTAGCCAATCGAGTTCAGATTCTACACCCTCTAGCAGGCCGCCATACCCAAGAACGCAATATTCTATGCCAAGAGCTCACGTCTCACTAGATTCTAACAATCAGGCAGCGGAAAATATATACACATCACATCCAACACATTCTAGCTATGATAGTAACAGTTCCTCAAATCCAGGGTTTGTGAGGTGAGTTGGTATTTAATTTATTTGAAAAAACTTCAATGTTTTTTGTTTTGAATTTAGCTTTCCAGAAAGTAATTTATAAGGAATATATTTAATTAAAATGTATATTTTGCAGCTTTATATTAAATGTCGAAATGATAGAAATATTAATTATGCCATGCTTGTTGTTTGTTTTTTTTTTCTTTACTTTAAATAAACAAGGTCTAGATTCTTGTTGAAATACAAAAAAGGAGTGCTATTGCAATTTTTATTAAAATTAGGGTTCATTTGTATATTTTTTAACAATTATAATTTTTGTTTTTAAATTTTTTAATTAAAACATATTTCATATTTTTCTATTGCTATTATAATTTTCATATTTTAACGTGTCTACTTTCTTCAACATTTAAAAAATTTGGGATTTTATGAAAAATAGCCTGTTTTCAAATAATGTGGTAGAGCTGGGCCCCGCTTTATTGCTTAATTCTAGGTGGCGCTGGTAGCAATATCCATTGATTTATTTAAAAAATTATAATGTATTTAAATTTACGATTATGAAAATCTTTTTGATTTGACTACCTTGCCCAAAATAAACAATTTTGATCAAGTTTCATGTTTTTGTATTACAAATGTTGTGATGTTTAATAATAGGGTCGTTTCCCATTTTATACATTTTTTAAAAGATTTGCATTTAAGATCTATTTATTTTATCATTTTTATATTTTTGATCATTGCGAAAAAAGAATTTTTTTTTCAAAGTATGATTTTCGAAAAGTGAGATATTTGTATTGAAATTTAATTGATATACAGTAGAAGCTCAATAATATGGAATAAAGCATTTTGAATCAAATTAGTGAATATTCCGAATTACCGAATAATCACCACATCTTCAATCACATTTTAAAAGTTTAGGGAAAATATAGACAAATTATTGTTGTTCTTTTTATACTGATTTAAGGTAGTTTTCACCAAAATGGACACTATTCGAGATAATTATGAAACTTTCAGTATATGTAATTAATAATGACCTGACAGATACTTTTGTAAAATTTCAGCATATTTTACCAAATAGTTTCTAAGTTATGCTTAATTAAAGTTGACTATGTTTAACATAAGCTTAATGGCACCACGTCGCAAAATGTCGTTACAATGAAAACGTTGCTATAGGTAAATAACCCCATTCGAGAAACTGCTCAAATTTTAGGCAAGGCGTTATATTAAACAAGATTGTTATATGTAACAATCTGGAAGCTAGGATTAAAGATATTAATACTGAAACTTTAAAATTTTTCATATAATTATTCACATAAATGAACCGCGGCAACGTCAGTCATTGAAGAAAGGTTAGTTCGCTCGCACGCTGACATTCTATAAAATTTTTAACTAAAACCTTTTTCGTTTAAGTTTCCTTTTTTCGTTTAAAGTAACTAATAAAATAAATCGAACAATAAGAATTCCTGCAAAAAAATTTTTAAAACTTACCAAACGATGTTAATGCATCCACTATATTTAACGCTAACTTAACAAAACCTTGTGCCGTGTAAATATCAGTTTCCATCAATCTCTCTTTCACACACAGCTGCGCTCTGTACAACATTGCCAGTTGTCAAAACTACGTGACTTGAATGTGAGACTTGCTCAAAAGTTTTCTACTTAAACTCCGTACTTGGGATATAACAACCTTTAAACATATATATCATTGTTAATCTTGCAAATGGGCATAAGCAACAAAAAGAAAATTGAACAAATCTGTGCTATCTACAGCGATATGAAAATTTAGAACCTTATTTTTTGAAAACTACAACTAACCTTTTTATAATATCCGTTTACCTTTACAATTCAGTGATATGTTTATATTTGGGTTACTAGGTTACAAAATGGAATAATTGAGCTTTTACTATATATGTAAATTATAATAAATATAATATAAATATCAAGGGCGTCATATCAGAAGGGCGTAAGAGCCACTATAGTCGGTTTTAGGTTTTTAGGGCGTATGACTTCATTTAATCAATTCACTTAATATATCAGAAGGGCGTATATATTCATAAACATCAACATCTATTCTAACGCATTTTACTTAGGTGTATGAACCAATTTTACAAAACTATAATATCAGAAAGGCGTATGCCTGTAAAATTTCAGATTTGGTTCATACACCCTTCTGATATGACGCCCTCGATATGATGGTTATATGTGGTTATCTTTGACGTTTATATTTTCAGTCTCTTCATCAAAGAGAGCAAGTAATATTATTCTTTATTCAATATATAATAGAGAAGCCAACATAAAAGTTTGCAGACTAAACTCTTCTCAAAATTTTGAAATATGGAAATATTTGGCTATTTGTGTTGTATATTAATTTTACTTAAAACCTTGTGCTATTGTTGCATATTCTCTGGTAAATAAATAAATAATTTTAAAGACTTCCGTAGGGGAACTGTAGGTATATATTCGCAAAGCTGTCGTAAGTCAGCTTGGCATCACGATATGTTAAAACCGATGTCATCTTGAAAGGGATAAGTCCACATTATAAAAGTAATAGTAGACTTATATTTAAGCAACAAGCCACTACGAATGGCCATTGTTGGCACTGCCATAATTACCAATGTGAATGGAATAAGTCATCATACCTCGACTACAATATTATTCTGAGGTATTCCAATGAAATATGATAAATAAAAAAAAATGCTGTGTATTAACTTTATTTTGTTTATATACTTTACCTTATATAGAGTTTTACTTATGGGAACGACACTATTTTGCATTGATACATTATAATTCTTCCTCGTTTTATGTCGCTTCAGCTACAGACTGTGAAGGAATTAAATATTTTCAGCATAAATCGGGGCTTAATTCTATTTTTGTTAGGAATCATCTAAAATGTCTTATATTGCTCAGCCAACCGCAGCCACCGGTTGCTCACATCCCACCCGGGAGTACTTACGCCCCGGGAATGAGCATTCTTGCCGAAAGTCAAGGGGGTAAGAGGGTGCAGGGCCAAGGACACCCGCTCAAGAGTTTCACCGTACCTGCGCCTCCTCCCATATCAGCTCCAGGTACTCCTCAGCCGAAACATATCGGTAAGTTTTACATTACCTGTTCACAACACAAACATCAACAATAGTTGCCGTATTTTAAGTCATCTGAACAAGAAAACACCAAAACTTCTTAAGGAAGGTTTTTTTTATAACAAAATGTAAAATTAAAACAAACAAACGAACACAACACACAATACAAAACACAACTGATTCAAATAAACAATATCAATGACTATTTTGCATGCGACAAACGTGATTTCCGAGATTCAGGGAATCGCGGATATATGGCAGAATTTAGAAATGAAGATAATACCCATTAATAAATTAACCCCAAGTCTAAAGTTAAATAGACCGGACTGTCTGGAAACCCCCATTTTGGGTTCGGAAGTCTTTTTATCATGTTAACTGCCAATTAAGACCTTTAAGGTGTCTTTTTTTTATGCACTAGGGACTTGCTATCTTGTACGTTTGACCCCCTCCTCCTGAATTTCGGGAACATTCTAGGAATGATTTTACCATTGATAATTATGTAACAAAACTAAATTTACATACAGGGTGGTCCCGAGGTAATAGGACAAAATTCATGGGTAGATTTCCCAAGCAAACATATTGCAATTTAGCTGAACTTAGTAAGTGTTGTGTAAAAAGACTTGAAAAATAAGAATTTGATACCAAAGATGAGATGCCTTAAAATATAATGTAATTTTTAACACATTGAATCTACTGCAGCTAGGGCCCTCTATGAACTTTAACCAAATTGTGAACAGATTTCAATTCCTCTACTCAAAGAACTGCAAACCCCAAAATTTTGTGAACATATTTGCATTTGTTAAGGAATAAATGAAAAAAAATGAAATAACATTTTCCATTTAATATCCTGTATCTCTTTAACTATCAACTTTTGGACTAAGGTAAGTACGGCTAAATCACAACATTTTTGCTTTGGGATTTTATCCATGAATTTTGACCCATTACCTCGGGACCACCCTGTATAACCTTTACACCTTCCATCTCCTTATGCCTCTGAAGGATAGCCTTTATTGACCTAAATTTTTATGTTTTTCCAAGAAAGAAAAGATTTCGAAAAACTGTTAATTTCAGTACTAATTGCCTTAAAACATTATGACAAAATATGGCGGTGTTTTGGAATTCCTACGTCTATTCTATCCTATTTTCGCGGGTAGATACCTGATGAGCGCATGATGAACAAATATCGATTTTTTTTCTTCTTGTCCTGGAAAGTGCTTACCATATGGCGATAACGTTATTTACTTAACTTGTTTTGGATTTTATGGTTTACTTGTTCAGATTACCGGCTAAGTTTTGTAAATCTATAACTTTTAGTGACAAAACTTTGCAGATATGACCTTCTTAATGACTTTATCTGGTGACTCTAAAATCTACTTGAAATCTCTTATCTTGCCTAGAAGAGACTAATATTTATTACAGTATTATTGGGTCCCAAATTGTTCCGAAAACTAATCATCAAATTATAACGCTTTTGTTACACTATCTTTGCACTGAAAAATGTATTTCCAAAAACAAAGCGAATAAGATATGGTTTAATCAAAATACTTAATACGATTAGTTACAGTCCGACCGAACGCGTCTCCATACAAGAAACCTCCGACGAGCAGTTCGATTACTTTAACAAACACTCCACCATCCAGAATTAGTGCCTCTAACCCGCCTCCCCACACCGCTGAGGAGGTGCAAAGACTGCAGCCCTCCCATTCGACGGAGGAGCTCAACCAGGAGATGGCCAACTTAGAGGGGCTAATGTTAACATTAAATGCCATCACGGCGAATGAGTTCGAGTGTTAGGTTAGAGCTGAGGAGCTGCAAAGATGGAATCGTACTTTTTTTAAGGTGAAATTTAAGACTGATTTCAAATAAGATTTGTTACCAGTTTTTGTTTTTTTTTTGTCCAATTTTAAGATGAAAGAAATGAGTGTGTGAATATTGAGTGTAGATTTTAGTAGGAATTATTGTGTCAATAAATTACCTTACAAATGAAACAGATAATTAGTGAATTTGGATAGATAAATCTTAGAAAAAGATGAAATACATAACTAACTGTTTCAAGAAAATATAGTTTTAAAATTTTTTAATTTTTTTTAAAACCTAATAACCTAGTCATACATTTATTAAAATGAACGAGTCTCTTTTGAATACATTATTGCATTTTTTCGTTTTTATCGTTTATTAGAAAAAATAAAAAAACTACTTTAGTTTCACAAAATTTACACCTAATATTTCACAACAACATTGGGATATATATTTGTTACAAATTAGCTCAATACACTTTTTCTGCATAATATTAAAAATAGAGATCTCAGAACACAAATATTTCTTATAGGTTTTTATGTCAGAGGACTAAAGAAATTCACATCCGAGAATAATTAAAAATTATTTCCAGATGTTTTTTACACTATGTGTAGCTACTTTTGATGATTATAAGGTTATCATATTTTTTTATCAAGTAATTAATTATATATATTTTTATGTATACCTTAAAAAATATTTAGATAATCCTATGAAGAAAATTTAATTTTCACTAATTAAACAATTTTTATATGAAAGCCTGGTACAAATAGTCTTGGCCTATACACTTTTATAAACTTCTTGTATAAATAACTAACTGTAAATTTTATACCTAAAGTAGATGTTTTACTTTTTTTATGTAAATTTTAAGACAAAGACTAAATAATATTGTTATGTTGATAAATTTATTTGTGCCAATTTTGATTAGGAAAATTATTTCTGCAATGAATTTATCACAATAATTTAACGTTAAGGAGAAACTAGGTGGTTTAACGTTCAATGTTTTTAACTTACTTTATTAAATGAATTCAATTAAAATTAATGCATGTTGTTGGATATTTTGTAAATTCACAATGTTTTTAGTTCACGGGGAAATGAAGATTTTTTTTGTTGCCTTAAATGATTCAAATTGTGGAGCTAAAAAAACAAAGAAACATAATAATTAAAAAAGAAAACTAAGAAATGGAATGCAGCTAGACGAAAATGTTTTACCAACTGTTCAATATTTTTGTTTCAATTTTTTTTATGAAAATAATAAACAATTATTTAAATTATTGATAAATTACATTAGCAATATTTAATATTGAAAATTATTTTTAAATTACAAAAAATTCACAATTATGACATTTTCGCTATTATTAACTAGTCTATAATTGTAAAATTATTAATCACTATAATTACAGCAATCCCATTGTTGTCTTTTTTAAGATATAATTACCTTTTTCGTAATTTGTACTATTATACAGGATGTTTGGTAAGCCGATACATTCCTTGCAGGAGGCTATACTACAAATGATTTGTGATATATTTCCTTAATATACTGTATTCCGAAAATGCTTAGTTTCCGATCTACAGGGCGTTAAAGTTTTAATAAAAAATGCAGATTTATAAATATTGCGGAAACCACTCCAAATATGTAATAGCTGTTTTACATTGACAATTTATTGATGAATTAATTCATGAAGGCGCTTCATCAAGAAATTGGACAAGTGTAATGCACCAAATCTGCTGTCAAAGTTCTAATTTTCGTCAATTTCTTCGTGAAGTTCAGAAGTACCAACCCAACAGATTTCCAGCCTCAGATCAGTAATGAGGTTATGTTGCTGGAATATGTAAATAATTGTGTGTCGTCGTACTAGTTTTGCACTGTTTTTACTGATTTATTACTTACAAAAACTAATATTTATATAATACGTATCAAAACGGTACCGCTGTTGTATCACTTATGAGTGGAAAGGTGATATTTTTTTAAATTTATTTGCTTCTTTAATTCTTTGGTATAACTGTTTCATGCGTCAAAAAACTTGACAAAGTCTGTAACAGTGTAAAACCACACTGTTTACCAATCAATTCGTGTAAAACAGCTATTAATGAAATTTTACGGACTTTGACAGTTAACAAGAATACATGTTTTACGATAAAAATATTGTTTTCAGTTTCACCAGTGGCGTGTGCACAGGCACGTCTCTAAATATTGTTAAAGAAAAAAATGATACACCACTGATTTTTCTTAAAATAAAAATTATTATTGAATTCCTTGTGCCTGTGCGCACGCCACTGGTGAAACTGAAAACAATATTTTTATCGTAAAACATGTATTGTTGTTAATTGTCAAAACTTGTAAAATTTCATTAAAATATTCTGAGCGGTTTCTGCAATATTTATAAATTAGCATTTTTTTATTAAAATTTTATCACCCTGTAGATCAGAAACTAAGCGTTTTCGGAATATGGTATTTCAAGGCAATATATATCACAAATCACTTGCACTATAACCTCCTGCAAGGAATGCATTGATTTACCAATCATCCTGTATATTACATAATCTAAATAATAATAATAATATTGTGTATACTATTTACAAAATTGCTTATAGAGGTAACTTTGAGTGGAGGTCATATTTGTACAGAGGCTTCCTTTAACCTTTACAAACACGCACACATATCAATAGTTTATTTGTTCAAATTCCGTTGTAAAAACTTTTTTTTTTGATAATTTTCGAACCCCACTACTGGACAAGCTAGTGTAACCTCAAATAACGGCGCGGCACACAAACAGTACTTAACTAGTAACCAACAAAAAACAAGCAGTAATCATTAATGATAAATAAATAAATCAATAAATGCAAATATAAACATTCTGTTTACTCACATGATTTTTATAACACTTCTCTGAATTTGTTTCTGTCCAATATTAGGATATTAGCATCCAAAGCTCGTATAATCTCTTAAATGTGTAACTTGCCGGTTTTAACTACTTGGACCTCAGGATACGGAGTTCGTTTCGAATTTGATAACGACGAAAAACATTCAAATTCACAGTTAGATGTATTGTCTTCAAATGCGGAGCAACAATTGACCCCCTTTCGCTTCATCACTGTTGACCCGCACTATCTCCCTCCACATACACTGTAACTTGCCAACAATCTTGTTATAAATACACGAGTATTTTACAGCGGCGGCATACACATGAAATAAAGTGCATTTTAAAAAACTTATTGACCTATTTAGTAGTGACGTCATATACGCCAACTAATATTCAAACCCAGAATGTACATTGTAATGAAGAATTTCTCAATATCTTTACTAGATCGATTTTCGAGCTTATGTACTTTGGACATAAGTGCCAAAAAAAATGGCTTCTTTGTCATGACTTTAAATTTTGCGATATTCTGACAATATTAGAAATATTTAAGAAGTTTCAAACCCCAAGTGACAAACTAATAATAATAATACCTCTACTCCTCGTTCTAACCACGAGAATTAGCCCAGAAGTCGGAGACTTGTGCGGGAGAGGAGGCGGCATATTATTATTAAGCAGGCCGCATTTGTGCCCAGGAACGACTTATGTTGGTAGGCCTTAACCACCATTAAGTGCAGGAATGAGTGAAACCTGGAAAACCTCATTAATTAGGGGGGTGGTCAAATGCCAACCAGTATCAATCTCTCATTGACACAAACCAACATTCTTCCATCCTATCATACCTGCACAGAGGGTGCCAATCCTCCGTACAAGCATAGCTAATCTATGGACTACCAGCCGCGGGAATCGAACCCGGGCAGAATTAGCACACATCGATTTAAGTACTGCGGCTACCGACCGACCAAATACAGGATGTTCCTAAATAAGTGTCGCAATGGAAAACTGTAAATTCCTCTTCAAAAAAGAAACATTCTTTTCCTCTTCCATTTTTCACTTTCGTTTTCATGATACACGGTGTTAAAACTTTCATTTTTTTAAAAAATTTTTGTTAATATCTTAGGAACCTTTTGAACTACAGGACTGCGTTTTTGTACAAACATTACCACTATTAATAGCTACTTTTTCGCACCCTTCTCGAATTCATTGAATGTGCCAGTGGTGGAGATTTTAAGGTATCGTAAGGGTTTTCCCCCCTAACTTTTACGCCACTGGAAAAATTGACATTTGATAGCAAATTCTGAAGCGCCAATGAATTTTACACAAAAAGAGTTCTCTTGGTTCATTACTCTAAAGTCAACCGTTTTCAAGAAAAATGACTTTATGAACAAAAACAAACATTTTACTATCGTTTCGAGAATCTTTTGTAATTCAAAAGACATAGTAATAATTAACAATTTTAACGAAATTTAACAACATTTGCAACAAGTAGCTATTAATAGTGGTAATGTGTGTACAAAAGCTCAGTCCTGTAGTTCAAATGGATCCTAACATATTGGCAAAAATATGAAAAAAAGTTTTGACACCGTGTATCTCGAAAACGAAAGACCGGAAAGAAAAATGGAAGAGGAAAAAAATGTTTCTCTTTTCATGAGGAATTTACAGTTTTCCGTTGCGACACTTATTTAGGAACGCCCTGTATAATAGAATTATAGAATTTATATATTTCAATTTATAGAACGATATTGCCTTTAATAGTAATTAATAAATTAAGATTATATCAATGTTACTGAGCATGCGCATTAAAGATAATTTCATATAAGTGAAGTAGCCTCGCAACAGGATATCATTCAAGGAAAGTTTGGTTATGTTTAAGAGAACGTCTATAACAAACCACTTGAAGAAAAAAACAATCGATAAACACACTGACAGTACAATACCAAGAAAAATAATAACAATACTTAGTAGAAAATACGCTAATGATGGCAGCGATAACATATCGACAAGAGCTCACCTGCGTATGAGGCTACTCTTTCCGAGCATGAGCATTAAGAATAACATGGCTAATGTTAAATTTTTACTGTATTTAAATTTAGGAATATTCTTTTATATCGTTTTTTGTAAGTTTTAAGCACATTAGTGTATTTATCTTATGAAACAAGTGTTGGTTGTTCTTAAATACTTCCAAATCCTTGTAAAAATATATTTGAAGTTGTCCATTTCTATAGTATCTATGTAAATAGTACACAAGGGTCAGATTCGGTCTGTACAATTTCAACTATGACAAATTGTTGCGGGTTGCCTAAATATGTGATGTCACACTAAAAGAATCTATTATGACTTAACTACTTATTTGATTAAAAAAAGAAGAAGTTCAGATTCGTTTTCAGGGAAACAGATACTGCTACCCCTAAAAAACTGACA